GGCCAGTGACCAGGCAGGAAGTATAGGCGGGACAAGGAGAGAGGAGAATTGGGGAAACAGGAAGAAGGGGAGAGACATTGCAGCCTCCGCCAGGAGAAGCAGCATGTAAAGACGCCGGTAAGCCACCAGCCACGTGGCAAGGTATAGATTTATAGAAATGGGTTAATTTAAGATAAAAGAACAGTTAGCAAGAAGCCTTCCACGGCCATACAGTTTATAAGTGAAAAAAAAGAAAAAAAAGATAAGTTTGTTGATCACACTGCAAAGGGAAAAGGGCTGGGTAGTATCAGGAGCACCGATACCCACAGATGTTTGCCTTGATGGTATAGAATCGGCTGCTATACAGGTGGACACAGGTTTTGAATGTTTTGTCAAAAGTAAAAATCTAGAATTGAAATCCCTTGATTGTTTGAAATACACATTTAGCTTAGGAAGAAACTTCCTGATGATCTTTTCACAGTGGCTGCTTTTTTTCTCGGCAGCAGTGCAGAGACCTCTGGTATTTCTTCTTGCTGGAGTTCCTTTGTCCTAGGTTGACTTTTATTTTCTTTCAGTGCTTACAAATACGGTGCCAGGGTCCTTGGCTTGCAATTTCTGATGACCATTCTTATCTCCATTATGACTCAAAAGATGGAGAAAAATAGAAACAATTCGAATGACAGGGAAGTGGAATTCACAGGCACAGTTTTGAAACAGCTGTTCTAAATATGTTTAAGGATTTAAAGATATATATGAACACAACGAGGCAAGAAATGTGATTAAAAAACTAAATGGAATTTCTAAGCAGTTTTCACCTCTTGGAATGTAATATCTGAAATGAAATTTGTACTAGATGGGATTCCCAGTAGATATATATTGCAGAGGTTTTCAGCATCAGTGAGATCAAACATAAACTGTCTAAATTGGCTAATGTTCCTCTATAGGTCATTGAGTCTCTGGTGTCATTTTTTTAGTTTTTTAATTTTCTATGTTACAGTTTGAAGACTCAACTGTATAAATTCCATCTATTTCTTTTTTAAAAAACTGTCCTTCCAATTTCTTTCTTGGTTGGATGTGCTTGTTTTCTTGTATTTTGGGTTTTTCTTTTCCTGTCTCTGTGCATATGTAGTAATTTTTTACATTTTGATTGTGATTTTGCTAAGCCCACATTTTATTGTTTTCTCCTTCAGAGTACTGGCTGTTGTTCTAGCAGGTAGAAAAGTCTCTTGGGGGTTGGCTTGGATTTGAGCTTCGGTGGGATGATGACTACTGGAAAGCTGATTTATTTTTCCTGCAGAGGGCTGATCACTGCACCGTCTCCTCCAGCCTGTATGAGCCTCAAGTGATCAGCCCACAGCCCACCAGTGCTCAGTGAGATACCACTGTGCTCAGTCTTAGGGAGTTCCACTCTATGCATTTCAGCTTAGTAACCATGGAGCAGAATAGGAAGATGGAACATTATGGGGACATAAGCAGTGAAAGGAGCCCCTCACCCAGGAACCGTGTTGAAGCCTTTTGTCAACTGAGAATCAAGAGTTCCAATACAATGAACAACATTTCATAATGGTACCTCTCTCTTTCCAGATAAAAATCTGAAAATGTGTAGCCATCTTGTCAGAATTCCCCTTTATAGTTAAAGGGTAACTTCTAGTTCCCTTGTGCAACCCTAGTGACTCCTGGCTCACCCTTAGATTATAACCCCATCTAAGATACTTCTGGAGCCACCCTATAATTTCACTTCTCAAAAAGAGTAGCCCTTTCAAGTGTAGCTTGAGAGCTACCAACATGGTATATATGTTTAATTTTAAGACACTTAACTATTACTTCCCTTTAAAAGCCTATGTCCCCTGGGCAGTGGTGGCACACACCTTTAATCTCAGCACTCAGGAGGCAGAGGCAGGAGGATCTCTGTGAGTTCGAGGCCATCCTGGTCTATAGAGTTACACAAAGAAAAACTGTCTCAAAAGATAATAATAATAATAATAATAATAATAATAATAATAATAATAGTAATAATAAAACCCATGCTCACACTTGAATATATCTTATTCTTTCCCTGGATGTCTCTTTCTCTTAACCATTGCGCTTAGCATCTAGGGTAAAAATGTCTTTTAGTAAACTGCAGCTGTCCCTTAAGAAGTCCACACCCAAGCTCGCATCACATGCATGCTCTCGCCACACCCATGCTCTCAGGTGTGATTTATTCTTTCTCCAAGCATCTTGTTCTTTTCAATAAACTCTAACTCTGCTTCACACTGGTTTGTTCTGAAATTCTTTTCTGCACCTAAGCCAAGGATCAGTTTATCTAAGTTGAGTTCCCTAAGACAACTAATGACCTCCTCTGGCTGCTGTGAGTGACAGCATGAAGCTGAGTCTCTGTTCTTGCTGCTGTTGACATCTGTTGGATGGGTAGGGGAGCAGAGTGGACTGGGAGGAGTTGAGGTAGGGGTGAGTATAATACAAGCAGATTGAATGAGATTCTAAAAGAATTAATAGAAAGATTGAGACGGTAGAACAGGTCATTTCT